CTTTTCTCTACTTCAGTCACTTAGTTGTTAATGATAGCTATTCCTTGCTGTTTCTATTGAATGCACAATTTCCATAGTGATACCATGTTGGCCTCAATTTGTTTCCTTAATCTTCCATTTCTGGTAACCTACCTTTTTTTTAGTGCATGATTTTAGCTAGCGGTTCTAGTGGAGAAGCAATTTTGAGGTATTGCCCTCTAGTATTTGAGTAATGTTTTGTTCCAGGTTGGGGTCTTTGTCTCTTGCATTTGTTTTTTTTTTTTGTTTTTTTGTTTTTTTGTTTTTTTTTTTAATTATGTCGCACTTTAGGTGGCCAAGTCCGGACATTCAGTTTTGCTGACTTATTGCAACTGATTCTATTCTTTTGCATCTCCATTCTGTTTTCAAAAAGAGAAACTAGTATTTTCACCAAAAACTGCTTATCCGCTTATTTCTTCTTCTCTTCTCAATTCCCTTCCTTAATTTCCCCAACCTGACTTACCTCCATTTGTTCTCAGACTCTTCCTCTTCTGCCTTCTCCTCTTTCATCTTCATCATTGTAAGTAAATGTTATGCCAGTTTTCTTCCTTACAAACTAAAACCTGACTCTTCTAGGTCAGTATTTTACAAGAGGACAAGGATAGGCTTGTTTGGAAAATCAGTATGTACAGTTTTTTTTTTTTTTTTTAAAGATTTATTTATTTATTTATACAAGCACTGGGTACAGTCAGAAGCACAGGAGGGTGAGAGAACTCACCAGAGCCAGAGCGGGGAACAGAACAGGCAGACCAACGAAGTGCACTGCTGAGGGGAGCAGCGGGCAGCAGGAGAGGTCTGCGCGCCATGTGGGACCCTCGCTGGTGGCCGGGGATTGAACTGGTGCTGCAGAGGCTGCGGGCAGCATCGCAGCCCAGTGCTCAACCACTGTGCCACCGAGGCGGCCCTGTACAGTTTTTATTCACAGGTTCTGATGGATTTGAGATGGTGTTTTGGCCAGGCCCAGGAATACTGAAATCCTACCAAAGACTACACAGTATCTTTGGGGGATATATACATCAAGAAAGGAGATAAATGTTAAAGAAAGGTGGTGATACCATACCTGTCTTGTGAGCTTGACTGGAGCAATGACTAAGGCTGAAGACCTGGGGCATTTTTTCCTCCTCCTTAAACCCAAATTCAAGTTCTGAAACCTAATATACTCTACCCTGCAAGGGCAGGGGACTCTCCTTGTGAGAGTTCCTGAACAAAGATGAGGGGCACATGATGGCTACACTGGTGCCGGGCAGTAGGAAGGAGGAAGTGGGACAGAAGGGCCAGAATTAAGGATTACCACCTTTTGACACATGCGGACCTTACTCACTCAGCATGAGTTGGGGGCTGGGTAGTAAAACAGGGAGGGAAAGGGGATATAAATCTTGAATCTTAAATGTACCCCTTTCCCTAAAGTCCATGGTCTTTTGTGGGGTCAGGACTAATAAAAAGGTCACAGTTACACTGATTCTTCATTAGTCCTTGAGTATTATGGCTACTGATCCATACACAAAATCTTCATCTTAATGGTTAAGAGTGGGGGTGGAAATAGGTCCCCCTAGATCAAATGACAACTATGGTGACATGAAACAGGACTCCCATTTTGAGTAATCTTATTTAACAAAACTTAGTGGCTAAGTTTAGTGGCTAAGCTTAGTGGCTAAGCTTCTCCAAAGCTGTACAGATGGCCAACAGGCACGTGAAAAAAATATCATCACTATGATCAGGGGAATGCAAATCAAAAACACCATGAGATACCATCTCACACCTGTGAGACTGGCCCATATCAGAAGGATAGAGGATGTGGAGAAAAAGGAGCTCTCATACCCTGTGGCAATGTAGACTAGTCCCGCCCTTATGGAAAACAGTATGAAGGTTTCTCAAAATTTTTAAAATAGATCTACCATATGGTCCAGCACTTCCACTCTTAGGTAGCTACCCAAAGAATGCAAAAACAGCAATTTGAAAGGATTTGTGTACTCCTGTGTTCATGGCAGCACTACTTACAATAATCGTTATGGGAACAGCCTAAGTGTCCCAGGACAGTTGTAGATGAGGAAGATGAGGGCTATATACACAGTGGAATACTACTCAGCTGTAAAAACAAAGATCAACTCTTGTCATGTGCAACACTTCGGATGAAAGTTGAGAGGAGGACACTAAGTAAAATAAGTCAGAAGGAGAAAGACAAATACCGTATGGTTTCATTTACATGTAGACGATAGGGAAACAAAATAAAGGCTCAGATAAAATGAAACCAGTAACAAAACCTAGAAATCTGACTGTAGAATTGAGGTTTCCAGAGGGAGAGAGCAAAGTAGGAAGGGGCCACAATGGGCTTTGGTGAAGAACTGTGGATGCCTTGGTGGTGGGTGTGGTGTGGTAACATACGTCTGAAGGGTGTGACCCTATATCTCTACATCATATACAATTTTGTAAGCCAGTGTTATCTCCAAAGCAACAAAATTTTTTTTTAGTGATTTGAAACTTCTTTTGGACAACATGGATATATGTGCCCCTGCTTTTTTTAAATTTAATATATTTATTTCCCCCCCTGCTTTAGATAATGGGAGTATGAATTCTTTTGCAAGCTGATGGCATGGGTGTATTGAATTATGGGTCGCTTCAGTAATCAGTTAATACTGTTATCTAACTATTGATGTGTTTCATATAAACTAATCTAAAAGTGATAACATAGTTTGGGAGATGTTATTTAAAATGTATTTGGCTTATATCTAATAACCTTATAGCATAAGTCATTGTAAGCAATTAAAGGATAATGCAAAGGGCATGGGCTTTGGAGTTAGAAAGAACTGGGTTCTTGCTGTGGCTCTAACATGTATCTCTCTATAGATTTGGGTGATTATTTAACTTCTATGCCTGCAATTTACAGTTTCCTTAATTGTATAATGGTGGCAATGATTTTGCAGCCTGAAAAAGTAACAACTAATTCAAGCAAAACTTTTTTTGTATTCACATAGCTGACAGCCTCCTTGACAAATCTGATAGAATTTTCCTCTACAGCAACCAATAAAAACTAAAGAAGTAGGGCTTGCCTGGTGGTGCAGGAGTTAAAGTCTCTGTGCTGTCAAGCTATTGCCAGCCACTGTGGCCTGAGTTAACCCGCAGGCCAGGGAACTAACCCTCACAGCACAGCAGGCCTCTGCTGCTCCCCTCAGCAGTGAATTTCAGTAGATCTGCCTATTCTGCTCCCTACTCTGTCTCTGGTGAATCCTCTCACCCCTGTACCACTGGCCTACACCCGAGTTCTTGTATGCATAAAGAAAAAAATCTTTAAAAAAATAAAAATAACATTTAAAAAAAGCAAAGAAGTAGGGCCTCCCTGGTGGTGCAAGGGATTAAGCACCACACTATGAAGCAATCCACAGCCTCTGCCGCAAGAGGTCAAGGTCGATCCCTGGTCAGCCAGGGAGCTGCCCATATGGTATAGTAGACCTCTCCTGTCTTGCCCACTGCTCCCCTCAGCAGTGTATTTCAGTCAGTCTGCCTGTTCTGTTCCCCGCTCTGTCTCTGGTGACTCCTCTCACCCCCCACATCTCTGTCCTGTACCCCAGCTTTTGTATGCATAAATAAATAAATTTTTAAAAAAAGTAAAGAAATATAGCAAATAATGACAACATGACAGAAAATGTTCAAAAATCTAAAACTAAGAGGAGAGACCCCTTTTCTCTGGATTTGACTGTCACATTCGCTTCACTGAGCAGAGAGTAACCTGGTTACTTTAATGGGAAGGGTGTGAGAGGACATGGGGGAAGGCAAGGCATGGGTGGAGGAACTGTAAGATATTTAAAAAATATGTTTGTACCATCTGATGATAATAATGGTGATGATTATGATGTAATGAACAGCTGTGAGTGCTCAGTGTATGCCAGGTCCTCTCCTAACCACGTCATCTATGGCATCTCAGTAATCACAATAATTCTACACATATTTGTGAGTCTTATTTTCCGTAAAAGCAAGTGAATTTGAGGTAAAGAGATTTGCTTGGGCAAGTCATTTTGCAAATGATGGACCTGGGCTTTTTTTTTAATTTATTTAAAAAAATTTTATAATTAAAATTGTTCATTTTTGTGCAGTGTTTGATTTCTCCCCTCAGGTGTAGTCCCGTAGTTCTCCCACCATCACAGCACCCATGAGCCGTCATCATCACTGTAGTCCCTTGTGCCCTTCCCTCCCCTGTTTTGACCCTTCTCCATTCCCTCCCTTGCTGTAACCCCAGATCGATTGGATCTAGGCTTTGGACATAGTCTGCTATGCCAAAGGCTGTGCTTAACCAGGTACCTCTTGGCCATCCCCCTGGGATCTCAGGATACCGAGTCATGTATATTCTTCCTCCACATTCCTGGCACCTCACCTGACAGGAATGGGGCTGACCTCCCAGGGTGGGGGGTCTCCACGGTGCTCCCACCTTTGATCTCTTCCTATGAACATGGTTTCCCATGTCCAGTCTCTCTCTCTCTGAATTTGACTTTACAAATAAAACATAAATATAACTAAGAGCTCATACCACAAAAAGGGAAGAAGTGATAAGAATAAGTAGCAAACAGAAATGAGGGGTTAATCCCTTGCCCCTAGGTACACAGGACCTCAGGTCCTTGTTCCGGGGTCTTCCAGGTGACCCTTTCTGATCAGCAGCTTCATGTTGGGGAGAGGCCTCCTGGGCTCTGCCTCACACAGCAGTGCCTTTCCCACAAGTAGAATCCCTATGACTTCAGAAAGGCCTCCTTGGCTCCACACTCTTTCCATGGTCAAGGGACTATTACTTTGGACAAAGAAGTCCCAAATGGGCTAATTAAAATGCAGGTCTCAGGCATTCACTTGTTAGTGTGTCTTAGCTGAATTAGCCAGCTCAGACCAGAGCTCCTTGGACACAGTCACCTTGATATAGTTAAGAGGGAGGAAATTTGGAACAGGGTGTAGTGGATCATGAGAGGGTTCTGGGAAGTGAGTGAAGCTTTGTTTCTCTGCAGGTGAGGACTCCATTAGCACCTTGGGCCTGATCCTTGGCGTGGGGCTCTCACTGCTGCTTGTATCCATCCTGGGCTACAGCCTGGCCAAGTGGTACCAGCGCGGATACTGCTGGGATGGTGAGTGAGCATTAGACCATGTCCCTCTGCTTTGCCAGCCCCTCCTACAGCAGTTGGCAAGTCCAGGCAGAGCTACAAACTCTTCAGTGTGGAGCCATGCAAATATATTTCCTGTGGTGGCTGCAGTGGTTAGAGACTTGAGTGGGTGGTTGAACCCTTGAGGTAGTAGGGTGGGGTGGTAGAACCTTTATTGAGGGAGTGGGGGGCCCTCCCATCCTAGCAAGCAGCCAGTTTCCTTTTCCCTCAGTGCCCATTGGAGTCTATCCCAGAGGCTTATGTGGGCTCAAGGTCAATAGTAAGGGGTTAAATGGGCCAAATTGTAGGAATTCCTTATTTTGGCTCCTCGTATATCTCTTTCTCTGCCCTTGGGTCTTGGGGTCCTTTATTTAGCTGGCTGATGCTTCCAGGGGTCTTCTGGAATTTTCTGTGGGACTCCCAACTTGGACCCACATCTGCACTTCCTGTGGGACTAAGCAGAGCTAAAAAGGCATGTGGGAACATGGAGAGGTGAACACTTTCTAGATCTGCAATGAACTCTAACAACTTCCATAGCTGTTTGTGGAGCACCAGCTGTGTGCCAATTCACTTTTGCCCTCCACGATTCTCTCTAAAATTCCACTTGGAAAAGAAATTCTTAGTTTCCATTTTTTATAGATGAGGACCTGAGGCTAAAGACATAGGGTTGGAGGTGATGGAGTCTGCATTCAAGCCCAGTCTGCTTCTTTTGGGCTCCAAGCTAGGCCTACTTCCCTCTACAGTTATCGGGGCCCTTCATGGAGGATCCCTGAGAGTAGGGACTTCCCTGAAAAAAAAAAAAAGCAACAAAACTGGGGATTCTATTTGGGAAGACAGGGTGCACCCATGGGCATGGGGCAGGAAGCAGACACTGAAGGTGCTTGGGACTCTCACAGTGTCCTGAGCCCTAGCCCAGTCATCCCACACCTCCCAGATAGGGATGAGGGGATACCAGATGTTCCCAGGTAGTAACAGGCAGCCCTCTGGAGGTACTGACTCTTGTTTTTGGATTATCTCCCTAGGACCCAGTTTTGTTTTCAACTTGTACCAAATCCGGTGAGTAGATCTGGGGGGTGTAATGGGGGGATGGGGATTAAGCATGATCCAGAAAGAGTCAAAGATGAAGGCAGAACTTTTTGCTTCCCTTCCCTGTCTCTTCTCTATGCCTATGAGCAAACAAGAGGAAGGAGCCAGTGTCCATTTAGAAAGTTCCTTGAATAAAAACTTGAATATGGAAGGGACTTTAAATCCCTGATGACAGTGACCTTTTTAACAGTCACCCTCATTTAGGGCCATCCATCTATCATCCATCCACCCATCTGTCTTCCTCCCATCCATCTATCCATCCACCCATTCTCCATCCACCCATCCTCTATCTATCTATCTATCCATCCATCCACCCACCCATTCATTTATTCTCTCATCATTTACTTAGTAAGGCTCTATTGTAGCAGGTTTTGTGGTATTAGTTCCTAAGGGTACCAAAATAACTAAGCATAGTTTCTGTCTTTAAGCTTCTCACTGTCTATGATGGGTACAGGCCTGCTTACATAGATAAAATCTCAAGCATGACATAGTGTCAAAGGGAAGAGCACGTGAAGACAAGCAGGGATTCAGGAAGCAGCATATCCTCTTGGGTATTCTCTGTTAGGGGCAGGACTGGAAATAAGTCAGTGAGTTGGTGTCCTAGAGATTCTCCCTACCAGCAATTCTTCCCAAGCTCTGTTCTAGGGAGTTGGGCTGCCAGGGACAGGCCAGGTTTCAGTGCCAGTAGCTTGATGGGATCATCTTTTTCAGGAACCTGAAGGAGGTGGAGACAGGTCCACCTTTCACCATCAGTGGCCAGATTAGCAGTCCGGATGGCAGCTATATGAGATTCTCCGACAGACTAGTCTGATGAGCCTTGGAGAGGTGAGTAGCGGAAATATTGGGGAGTTCCTGAGTAGGTTTGCTGTCCCAGTAAGATCTTGAGGTGGCCCACATGTCCAAGGACTGCCTGGAACCCAAAGAGATGATTAGGCCTATCCTTTGCCTCTGGAGAGTGGGCTCCATAGGAGATGATCTCAAGAATGAAGGCCTGGCTCATGCTGTCCCCACCTGCTGCCAATGCTGAGTCACTTCTTTTCTATTTGTCTGCCCAATCCATGTCCTGCTTTTCTTTCCTGGGAAGTTTCTATTTCTAATCAGAAGGAAGCTTCTAAAATAGAGCTTTCTCTCTCATATTTGCTCTGAGATGGAGGTTCCAGATGACTACTCTCTCCAAGAAGCATCGTTCTAGAGCTTCCATCTTTCAGCTTTTTGAACCCAAGAGCATTTGTGGCCGGCCAGTCCTTTTGTCACACTGTGGCAAGCCCGTTGCTTCTCTACATCATTGTTTCTCTCACCTAAGTTATTTCCTCCCCCAGTTTCTCTCATCTCCTCCCCTCTAAACACCCTCAGCTTCTCCTTGTGTCTTCTCTCTGAAGCCCTCCCCTTGCTTAGGACTGGCCTTGCCAGATGCAATGGTTCAGAGGAGTCCTTCCCAAGTCTCACATCTTTCTCACATTCCCTTCTCTTTTTCTGCAGGAGGAGGCTCCTGGCTCAGCACTGGCCTCTTTCCAGGTTCCTGGAAATGCCTTTCCCTCCCTGGGTTTTTAAGACCTTGCCTGGCCTGTTTGTGACAATGAGGAATCTTTTCTGGGTATAACACCTATCTGTGGCACGAGAATCGCCAGGGGCAGCTATGACTTTCTCACAGAAATACAAAATGTCGTCATTCTCAGGAGGCCCCAGGGCCTGTGGGAAGTGTTCTAGGCATCCTGGAGGGCAAGGTCCTGCCCAGTTTCAGACCTGTATGGGCAGGAACTGGACACTTCAGAGGGAGCTCCTCACTTGGTGTCTCTGGTCCCTTCCCCTTGCAACGCCGACACCAGGGCCCGGAAAACCAGTCATTTCTTAAATTGGCAAAGTCATGTAGAATGGAGGTGATTCCAGATACTGTTTTCTGACCTTCCTATTGGAAAGTGACTTCCCCTAAGTGCTAAAGACTGAGTGTGGGCCTTTCCTCTGTCCAGCCTTCCTTTGTACTTAGTTCTAGCACTTCGAACCCATCCTGCTCCCTAACCCACACTCTTATCCACACCTGGCTCTATCCAGCCTTACTAGCTCCTAAACAATTTTGAGGGCAGTGCTGAGAAAAGTACTCTCTTTTCCTAAGCTCCTATGATGCAGTGGGCTTGTGGGAACAGGGGGGCGGGGGGCTCTATCTCCCCGTGTTCTGCATTTTCAGTGCAAGACCTGGCCTGTGATGGGGAAGGTGGACCAGAAATGGTGTGAATAGGGAGAGAAACCCAGATAGGCTGAAAAAAACAGACAACACACAAGGGAAATCAAGAATCCAGCCTAGCTTGGTGGACAGCACAGCAAATTGCCCTGTGAGTCATCACATCTTCCTCTGGTTTGTGCCCTAGTGGACCTGAGGTGGAACCTGCCCTGGGATGTCAACTTAGTGGGCACTTAATGTAGAGTTGTTCAATCCAGAGAGACTGGGTTCCTGGGTAAAGCAGAACCTGAGAGGGCCAGTTAGAACTACCAGCCACTGGTCTCTCCGCCCATGTCCCAGCACCAAGGCCAGCAGGAGCCCAGAACAGCGACAGAGGAGGAGAGGAGTCATATTATTTGTCTTCCTACTGACTCTTCCCTGAGGCCTGGTGTCCTTACCTGGTGTTCTAGCAGGTTGTAGTGGAGGGAAGGAAGAGAGGGGCTTACCAGCTCTTACTCCCTCGATTCCTGCGAGGATCTGGAGGCCAGTCTCCCAGTGTGGCCAGTTTTCAAATGAATAAACTGAATTTCTGGATTTAGAGGTCCTTGTCTGGATCCCAATTCTTCTGGCCTTGAGTAGATGGGGGGGGGCGAGCCCCCAATAGCTCTGGATCCTTTGCTTCATTGAAGGCCTCTTGAGGAAGCTGTAGCAGGGAGATGAGCTGCCTTTGGCATCCCTTTATGGATTTCAGTTCTGAGGGCTGGGCCCCATTCCTTAACCTTGGGGTGTCCAGACTCAATAAAACCGTATATCTTGCTTAGCACAGCTCTGGTTCTGCAACCCGTCAGTCAGTGGGGTGGGACCAGGGGGTGAGGGGCCTCTGGAAGTGCTCAGCACTCAGTGGCTTTGGGAAAACTTAAAAGAGGATGGGGCCAAGGGCCCAAGTAGTCCTGGCCCCAGGTTTGGTAGCTTCAGGTAAGGACACAGGGACAGCTGCTGAGGGCAGGGAGAATGGAGGGTATTTCCCATCCTTGGGAGAGGAACTGAGACTGGGCTACTTCCTCTTTTAGAGCTCCCTGGTGTGCTCCCTGCTCCTCTCCCCTCCTCCCCCTTTACTGACTTCCGCAGTCCCACTGGCTAATATGACGTGAATTTCTTCACCCTTGGTTGCAGACCCCACCCTTGGTCTCTGTTTCTGTCCAGGGTCCTCAATTGGCAGAGTCCAGCTTGCTCAGAAAAGATTAGGGAGCAAATGCCTAGAAATCTGGCTCCAGGGCTGGCTGAGCTGGGTGCCCAAGGCACCCAGACCCATGGCTATTCCAGCGCCCCTCCAGGACTTCCCTCTCTTTCACTTACCCATCCTGTATGCCACTGGCCCCCAAAGCCAGGAGGCAGCAGGAGGTCCAGCAGTTTTGGGAGCTGGCCACCTTTTGTTTTTTGCTGCCTTTGCCAGGGCTGTCCTCTTTCCTAGCTGGAAAGCCTTCTCCCTGCCCCTTCTAGTCACATTTAGTCTTTATGAATGGCTCAAGGTCCATCTTTCCTGTGGCTTACCATGGGACTCCAGACTGGACGCTAACCATCTTGATCCCAGTTGTTGATGGTTTTGTTCTCTCCATTACTGCTATTCCCCAACCAGGCTGAGACTTTTACAGGTAGGATTCTGTCCCATAAGTTCTTAGCCACTGCTAAAAGTGAAGCACAGAGGAAGTGCTAGCTAAATGCCTGCTGAGCAGAGTAGAAACACCCAGTGTGGCCACAGAAGCCAGCTTTGTCTTAGAGAAAGATGCTCAAGTGACTGGAGAAGGAGCAGAACCTGCTGGCACAGAATACAAGGCATCTCCTGCACAGCACAGCATCCTGAACCTTGTGGAAACCTGTGACATGGGGATTATTATTGGCCCCATTTTACATATGTGGAGACTGAGATTCAGAGAGGTGGCATGCTTTGCTCAAGAATGCACAGCCACTGAGTAGTCAGTACCCACAGATGCAGCCTGACCTCAAGGCTCAGGGCTATGAATAGAGGCTGGCTAACCCTGCCCTGCCATGCTCTGTGGCCACGGCTACTCACTTCACCACTCTTGGCTTAAATTTCAACATCTGTAAATCAAGAGGTTAAACTATTTCTCTGGGGTTCCTTGGTGTTCTTATCTATAGGAGAAAAAAGGACTTATCTGTTAAAAAAAAAAAAACAAACTCTGTATTCTCAGTGTTTAGTATAGAACCTGAAACATAGTAGGCATCCAATAAACAAACCTTGTAAATAAAAGTGTACTTATAGCTTTCTAACTTAGGAAGGGGGCAATTGAAAAGTGAACACTGCAGTTCCTTCAGACCCTGATGGTCTAGGATTCTGAGTGTTACTCAACCTTTCTTTGACCTTGGATTTGGCTACCCTGAACCCAAGACTGGATCATTCCCAACCAAACCCTTCTTTATCAGGAAGGCAAAACTAACCTTTGCTGAGCATATATTAGTGTAGAGTAGGGAGCCCACAGGCACCTTCTCACTCTAGACTCACAGGTAAGGGGACAAAGGCTCAGGGTCTGGTGAAATAGTTTGCTTAAGGCTGGGTAAGAATGTATTTTCGTTGTCATTCTTTGGCATCCACTCCTAGCCTCTGTCCACACTAGCAATCTCCCTGAGCTCCTAGACCCCCTAAGGAAGCAGGTTTCTCCCTCTGGTTTCTAATCTCTTTTTCTGGGATCCTTGGACAGTAAGAAAGACTTCTAAGAAGCCTGGGCTCCTCAGACCCCATCCTTTGCTCTGAGTTTCTCAATGGCCCATTTCTCCTTCTTCCTCTTAATTTTTATACCCCCTTTGATTGTCAAATCATCAAATTCTGTCCATTTTTTCATGCAACACAGATTTTACTTCTCAGGAAACTTTCTTGAAAACCTACAGATCTTGTCTCCTGACTTTTAATTGGAAATATTCTCTGCCTCCCATAACTTAATTATTGATTATTTCCTTGTATTCATTTATGAATGCAGCCTCTAAAATGTGCCCGGCATGGCGGGGGGCTCCAATCTCTTTTGAGATTAAGCTAACTCCACCCTGCTTGAATGGTGTTACTTGCAGACAAAATGGGCATGTTTCTGTCAAGGACCCTCAAGTGGCAGATTCTTAAAATTTTTCTGAGTCTTCTACCTTGTCTGAGTTCTGTATGGCTCTGGTCAAAGCTAGGAACTTCTCAGGAAATCGAGTTGATGGATTCCTTAGTCTCTTCAAGGAATCTTGAACCTTGTTTCATCCCTGGTCCAATCCTTGGTTCTCTGAAAACCAAAGCTTTTGGTTTTCTCTTCTCATCCTCAGCATGTTCAACACTTGCTTATCATCAGATACAGTTGTGAAGACAGTGACTTTTTTTATTCAAGTGATAACCTCAAAGGTGGTCAAAACCAGGAAGAGGCTAGGCAGGAGTGGAGGGGGCTCTATTCTCCTGTAGGCATTCTTTCAGTTGTATTGACCTATGCTGTGACCAGTGGCCATGGAGAGGTCAGTGTCCATGAAGCCCCTCTCAGACCCAGAGGTCTGAGAACCTCAAAGTGGGAACAGATGGGAGAATCATTATTATATTAAAAAAAAAACTGCTTAGTGATCAAAAAGCATTTAGAAGCAAAGATATTTGAGCAGTACAAAACAGGAAGTCAGTGGCCTGCTAAATTCTCACACTGGGGGACCAGAAGTGAAAATGTTCTGCCTGCCCAGAGTAGCAACAGGCCAGCAAAACAACAGGGGCCAGAGGCCAAGTCATGGTGGACTTCCTGTCTCCTGGACTTTTACCTGCAGAGGCATGGTAGTTCTCGTCCCATCCCCAAAACCTAGGATGAGGTTTCTTATATACAAGCAAAGGGCCAGTGGGATGGAAAGGGTGAGAGAATATAAGAAGACTCATCTTCCATTCTAGTCCCAGTTCCTCCTCGTAGCTGGTGAGCCCAGGTGTCTGGTTTGTGTAATAAGGTTGCCATTGGACTTGAAGTCTGTGAGGTTCCTTCCAGCTGTGAAGCTGTTTCAGAATGTGGGTAACTTCAAATACACAGTGCTGGAGGGAAGGGGTTGAGGGAGGTAGTTGGTGAAGGAAACTCCCTCTCTCTCTCTCTACTCCTCTGTGTGTGTGTGTGTGTGTGTGTTTTTGTGTGATGCAAATAGTCAGGAAGGAGAGGGATCACCTCTTGTTACCTGCTGCATTCCCAGAGGGCCTGCTCAAGGCAGGTGCTCAATGGAGTCTGCTGAAGGAGTGAATGACTGTATCTTGAATATTTTCATGGCCCTTTGCCTTGCCTCCTGACCACTTCCCCCTGCTATAGACTTCCTGTTTGGTCTGTAGCCCTGGGTCCCTACAAGAGCTGGGTGGGGGGTGGGAGGGTGAAAACAGCAGGAAAGGGAATAATCATAGTGTATGTAATATGACTATACTAAGAAGATCATAAGTCTGAAAATAAAATTAAAAAAATAATGTACAGCCTGCTTTCCTTTTGACTCTTCCCAAGTATCCATTCAGCCTCAGGAAGCCACCCCCACACTTGCCAACTCAGGTTTGGATATCATATTTCTCCAACTTCTCTCATATGCTATTCCTTGTGAGCAAATTAATTTGTTCACATATTCACTATGCATCAATACTATATTGAGCACTATACTAGTGTTAGGTATTGGCTGGGTGTAAAAGACACTGAGTTAAAAGCAAAAGGAGGGTCTGTTCTGCAAGAGGCTCATAGAGAAGTAAGTACTGAACTACTCCACGGTGCCGGGATGCCCAGGAAAGAAGTCAGATTAAAGATCACCATCTCCATCGGACAGAAGACCTGAGGCCCTGACAGGGCTCATGTGAAAGATCTGATATTACCAAGTTGGATGGGCCTAGAACCTGGTATCCCTGAACTCCAGTCCAGCCCAGCACTCCCTCCCCTCTTCCTGTTGCCCTTGGGGTATGTCTAGACCATCAGCCTTGTCATAGGAGTCCCTTCAGTCTAAGTGGTGGATCACCATTCCCTTTTTGTGAGTGTCCTGCCTGCTTCCCTCTGCCGTAGCAGGCTGTGCAGTGCTTGTTCTGCCACCCATGCAGTCTCTTTGCCCCAGGTTTGAATTGTGGGCTCGGATCTTACAATCCCTCAGCTTGGGGGGAGAATCTTCCAATCTCATTCAGCATAACTTAATAAATCACGTATCTCACTCCTTTCAATTCAGCAAAAGTGTGCATTGAATACCCTAGTTGGACCAGGTGCTCCTTCCCTGCACCCTGTAGATCCCCGTGCACCTCTCCTGGCAGCACAACAGCAGGAATGTCTTGTCTTTCGTGCCCATCATACCTCCCTTTCTGCCCCATTCCTCCTGCTCTGGAGGAGTTCTGCACCCAGTGCATGAGCAGCTGAAGAATGCAGAGGGGTCAGCACCTCTAGGAGAAGCCCTAACCAGTGGGCTTCAGGAAATGGTGGATCAGGGCTTCTCCAGTCAATGCTCAGGGGAAATTGGAAGAGGCCTCTATACCCTCCACAATACATTTTAGTGGGATCAAGGCCCAGGTCCTCACATGACCGGCTCAATACCAGATCTGTGTCTTGGCTTTGCCTTCTTTCCTTGTCTTTCATTCTTGTTCCCCATGAAACTTCCAAACAAACTACCTGCCCACAGGTCCTTGAACCAGGTTCTGTTTCTGGAGGGGCAATTTAGGCTAAGTCAGCACTTATAATACTATGTTGCCAGTTTGATTTAATCCATTTATTTACTTGCTTGCTCATTCATTCAACAAATACGAACTGAATGTGGATTATATTTTCTAGGTTGTGTGAATGGAGGAGTGAAGAAAAGAGATAAAGTTCCTGCCTTCATAAGTCTTATATTTTATTTACAGTCTGAGAGACAGATGATAAGCAAATAAACACAGAAATAGAAAACAATTTTAGGTAAAGATGGGTATTCTGAGGGCAACAAGAGAGGGATGGGAGGGAGATAGAGAGAGGGGTGGTACTTAGGTAGGTGGCCAGCAAAGATCTTTCCAAGGAGATTCCACCTGAAAAGACCCTTGAATAAAACAAGGAAGGCATTAAAGAGAAGACCTGGGAAGAACAAGAACAAACGAGCTGAGGTGGAAATGATCTTAGAGTGGGCAAGGGGGAGAGTGCAGGGGTCTGGCAGAGAGTCAGGAGATACCAAGACATTTGGATTTTTCTTCTCTTTAGGACCAAGTGCAGAAAAGAGGGATTTCAGCAAGGGGATAGCGTGACTCGAGTTGTGTTTTGTAAAGGTCATGCTGGTTACAGTACTAGACAGCACGGGGTGAATCATGCTACACTAAGAGAACAGGAGCAGAAACAAGGACAGTAAGGTGAGAGCCACTCTGGACTTGACCAGGATGGTATGTGCTGGTAGTGGCATATAGTTATATAATTGTATTTATCATATAGTTGGAGGGGAGAGTTGTGGGACCTCCTTGATATATCAGATCTGTGATGTGATGGCATTGCGACTCTTAGGTTTTGTTTTGAACAACTGGGTAAATGATGGCATCATTTACTCAGGATGGAAGACTGTGGGAGATACCCTGGTGATACTATGAGAAAGTAGGGGGTAGGCAGATGGGAGTGTAAGGACAAGGAAGAAGCAGGTCACCTGCAAGCTAGCAGAAGTCCTCAAGAACTGAATTGGGTGGCACCTTGATCTTGGACTTCCAGCTTCAGCATTGTGAAAAACATCTGTTGTTTAAGCCCTCCCCCTACCTTCTAGGTATTTTGTTAGGGCAACCTGAATTGCTCAGCTAGCCAGCTATTTAGTTTCCCTCCCATCCCTAACCCATATGTGGAATATTAGTTTCTTTCATTCACTTAACACTGGTTGTAATATACTTGTTTATCTGTTTGTTAGCTTGATGCTTATTTTCATACACAGATGGCACCCTCCAAGAAGCCAGGCCCCTTTTATTTACCAGTCCAGACCCAGAGCTGAGCACCATGTCTGGCACATAGTAGGTATTTAATAATCAATTTCTTGAAATGAAATGCTGATTATGCTAAGTGCCTTTAGCCAGGTCTCCCTACATCCTGCCTTGTCCCCTCTGACTCATGCTCTTTGCTTTGACCAGTGTGACGTTTTTAAACCCTGATTTCATCCTTCCTAACCCTCCCTTGTCAGTGTTTATGGGTCCCACCACAATTTTTGAATGTTTATGGGAGCTAGATGAAGTTCAAGGTGACAGTGAGGAAGGTGCTCTGGGTTATTAATAAATATACATCAAATTTTAAATTGTGGATTTGCTTTAAAAGAAACCCCCAAACCATGAGCACTACAGGAAATGGATGAGTCATGCTTCCCACTGCGTAGTGTCCTTTAGGTTGGGGCTCGATAAAAATCAGCCCCAACTGCTTAAACCTCTCATTTGGTTTCCAGTGTGCTGCCCCAGGTGGGCACAGCTGATAGCTCCTCTTTCTCTGACCTTCATGTGTGGGGTTCAGAGAATGTCCAATCAGCAGGCCCATGTGAGCCCTGTAGGTGGGACCCAACCTTTTTAGGAGCAGTGAATATTCTGTGGGGGTGTGTGTCTTAGGGTGGGGTGGGGCAGGCCAGAGACCTGATGGGAAAGACAAGGCAGACACTTCCACTACAGCTCTTTACAAAGTTGGGAAAACACAGTTCAATAGAATTTCCTCTTAGGTCAATATTGGCCTATTTCCCCAGTCCCCTTACTAAGAGGAAGTTCCATTAGCTCATTGAAACGCAAAAACCACACATTCCTCAGCCTGGAAAAGCCCCTGAAGGAGCTTACTCAGTTTAACAATCTGGGCTTTCTGCTGGGGACTTTAACCCAAATTCCTAAGAAGGCGGGAAGGATATCACTGCCTGGCTATTTGGAATTTCTCTCTCAGCCCAGGCTGTGCTGCGCTGTTGAGAGCAGCTCAGAGGCTGAGGAGACAGGTCTTCCAGCTCCCCCTCATTATCCTTCTCGCAGAGCCCATGTCCCAGGACTCTATTCTCCCCTAGGAGCTGTTCCGATTTTTGTCTTTTCCAACCAAACCCACCCCTGTTCATAAGCGTGAGCAAGGTTCCCCTCATTTTCTGAATCTCTATTTCACCTCTGGCCAGTCTTCATCAAGCAGTCTCGGGGACATTTTCCTTGGGACAGAAGCCATCTCCAACACTCATTTCCAGGAGGAGCTGGCCAATTTGACAGGGGATCCTCTGGGGACAAAAGTCTGAGCAGGTCTCAGATGGGGTGGTATTAGTCAAGTTCTCCGAAGAAGATAGGATCAGCGCTTCCCCGGAACCGGGTAATTTCTCAGGGTGAAAGCCATTCTGAGATGATACGAGTATAACGTGACAAGGCGTCCCTGGTCACCTCCTGGCAGATCCAGCCTGGGACAAGGAGCCAAGTGTACTGGAGATGCAGGCCCTGGGTGTTGGGTTTGCTCCACCTGCTGGGCTGAGTTTGCGGAGAGATTCAAACCCACGTGTGGTTTTTCTTGGAAGGAAGAGGCTGCTTGTAGACTAGAATGCTGATGGCTTCCGCACTTATGAGATGTCCCCTTGGGACACACCTCCAGGTGGAGGGGAGCAGGCAACCTTGCTCCAGGTTTGCTGTCTTCCTGGCAGGGAGAGGCTGACAGGGTTGACATCTAAAACATGGTATTACACTCTCCACCTTATGTTTTCCTTTCAAAATTCTGAAAGAACCTTCTACACATACTTTTATTACCATACATTTTCATTATCCTTTTCATTATGTTTTGTGCTATCTAGCCACTGCTTTATGTTATGTTAGTCATTATCTACTTTCATTTCAGACATTTTCATGATCTCTTTCACACTCCCCATTTCCAAGAAAAACTGTCCATTTGCCTTTGTGATTTTAAAAGCCAATGACAATTAGTTAAACTCTGGATGTATGGCCTCATTTAAACCTCTGGAGGAGGTTATTCCCACTGTATGAGGGAGGAAACTGGAACTCAGAGAAGAAAGGTATTTTGCCCGAGGTCACAAATAATACATATTAGCCGGAGGACTTGTACCGATTCTGTCAGATGTGAGCTGGAATCCTCAGTCCTGTTATCTCAAAGTGAGTGACATCACATCTTATTCATTATCATCCTCAATCATCAACAATTCGAGGCTTCCACCAGCCACCATGTCATCTGAACTCTGACTGGTTCACAAGATTCATGTGGTCCTGACAATTTATTGAAATTTAAAAAATGCATCACTCATTTACAGAGCATTGTGTTCGAGGCACAGTCTCATCCTCCACCTCAGTGGAGCTGCAAAACCCAATGAAAGAAACAAGTCAGGAATTGTTTTCTGGCTTTACAGGTCTTTCCCAAGGTCACAAACACCAGAAAAGTGGAGTAAGAACTAGAACTCCCAGGCTCTTGACATACCCAGAGCTCTCTCACTGTACTCTGCTGCTACTTCAATAAATAAATGATTAATATAAATAAATAAGCATTTCAAGGGAACCCTGAGGAATCCTCCCTCAAGCCTGTTTCCAGAAGGAGTTGTTATCAGACTGGGATCCAAGGACTTCCTGGAAGAGTGGGGAGGGTCCTGGCTGATTCCCTGGGCTGGAATGTCTGTTCCCAGAATGCCCCAGAGAAAGGCCAGTGATGGCTCAGGGGCATAGCCCAGGTCTGTCACCACTCCCAGCCTCTTGCTTACAGGCTATAAACTGGCTTTGGGGAAACAGGACCCCACCTGCCCTTTCTGGCCTGAGTCTGGCTGCTCTCTGGGCAAGATACCATGGCTTCTGCTAGATCTGGAAGCCCTCCGCGTGAGAACCAAGCTGGCTGTGTAGACATAGTTTCCGCAGCCCACCTCCTCCCAGCCCAGTGTCAGACTGGGTTGGAAATGTCACCCCAGACACCAGCCAGGTTAACATCCAGCATGGAGGACTAGAGATTCAGTCCTTATTTCACAGCCTGGGTAACCGAGGCCCTTTGGAAAGTAGCTAGGCAAAGGTCACACAGCTGAGCACTGACAGCAGGGATCCCAGCCCAGGGCCCTATCCTGTGGGTCTGGAGCTGGACATTAGTAGCAAACATGAGGGCAGGTCCCACCCCTGACCCTTGGGGTTGACTCATGCATCCAAGCCCAGAGGCCACCTGAAGGGTTGAGTTCTGACCAATACAAACAACCAAGGTTTTTGTAGAACTGTCAGCAAGATGATGGGGGCAGCTGGGTGGGGATGATGAGTGGCCCAGTCACTTCAAATGCCTCAGTGCCACTTGCTGGAAATAGTGAGCTGTCTGCAGATGGACGCAAGACATCCCCAGAGGGACAGGTTCTGAGCCAGAGCACCTTCTGAGTCTCAGCTCCCTGCATCTCAGGCCTGCATCTGTGCTGACTTCGCCTGGCAGTGTCAGCACAATTCTGAAACTCCATGACTCCCCTGAGCAAGAAATCTTTTCTGACACAGGAAGAATCTCGTCTCAAGAAGAAAGGAGGTCCCTGCCCTTCTCTTCCCAGCTCTGCCAGTCTGTAGGGCACTATGCACACCGGGCAAGGCTGCCCACACTCCCTGAGTTAATTTGGCCAAATAGCCTCCTCCTGTCATGGGGACCATGGCCAGGCTCCTGGACCTGGCTATCCTTACTGGGCTCAAAGGAAAGTGCCCAGACTGACCTCATGTTTTACCTCTAACCTCTGGGATCTCCTTAGCCTGAGTCACTTGTTTGAGTGCAGGCTGGAGATCAGTGGCTGGGCGCACAGTTCTGAGTCAAAGCTGCCCAGGAGACTACCTGGAGCTACCACACAGTCCAGAGGGGTAAGAACAGGATCAAAGCTCCAGTCAGAAGTTCCTAGGTCGCCACAACTGGTTAAGCCCAGAAGTGACCATTCCTCAGTTGGGTGGTTCCACTGTTCAGTTGGGGTCCCTGAAGGAGCGAGAGTCATTCCTAGGGCACCCTGTTTCAAATAGCCATTGGCCAGAGCTGGTGAAGGCCAGCCTACCTCTGCATCCAGGCATGTCCGGAATTCAGGGCCAAGGCTATCTGTTGAGGAGGATTCTTCCTCCAGGCAGTCTGCCTTGGCTTCATTCTCCTCTGTGCATCTGGCCTGTCTCAGGTAGCCCTGGTATACCACTGCGGTTGAGTCTTCTTCCTCGGGAACCTCAGGCCTTGGGGACCTGACATGGGCCAAGGCTGAGCTGCCCTGTATATCCACAGGCTGCCCCTCAGCTTTCTGGACTAGGCCAATGCCACTGTCATCCTGGCCCTGGCTGTTGCTCCCCTGCTGCGGCTCCCAGTGGGGCGCCCTGCTGGGACACAGGCTGTGCTCCTGCAAGCAGATCCCACTGTCTGTGCTGGTGCTGCTGCCACTACTGCAGTTGTTCTCCAGCTCCAGGGGTGCCCCCTTTCTCATAGTCTCCTTGTCCTGGGGGTCAGAGGTAGGAAGGAGGAACTGGGGTTCTTCAGTCTGCAGGGATGGCTTGGCACTGTCAAAGCCACTATCCGTGCTGCCATGCAGTTCCGAGTTCCTCAGCTCTGGAGACACTTTGGGGAAGGCCGCCTCGTCCAGTGGGTGGATGGTGACATGGGTCTCTGGCCAGGAAAGTTGGCTGCTCGGGACAAAGGGACTGGGCTTATCGAAGACCTAGGGAGAAGAGCACAGAGTGAGACACGTGGGACCGTCTCCTGGAGGAACCGACCTGAGTGTGAGGCTATGGGTCCAGACAGCAAGCTCACGGAGGTACACTCCAACAGAGGGAAATCTGGAGTCTGCATTACACTGTAACATGTTCTTCTTGTTTCATTTCAGAATGGAGTTTTCTGCCTGATGCAATTCTCAGTTTGGCTCAGGCCAGTTTAAAAGAAAGCAGTACTCTCAGAGCCAGATGGCATCACAGGGAGAGTGAAGAATCTTCTTAGGTGGCTCCATCCTCGTGCGGTTCAAACCTAAGAGTAGGTTAGATCCAGGTAGATCTACTAGTGTGTTTCAAACTTTTTTGACTGTGACCCAAAATAAGAAATGTGTTATGTAATAGCTGATATATAAATATATGTGTGTGTGTATATATATGTAAATAGCCTTAAAATATATCACATATATGAATAATTTAAGTCAGTTTCACAAAATAACACTTATCATTACTGCCTGTGTACCATGATCTATTCCATCTGGTCCTATCTTAGCCCATATTATCCATTTCATTTTTTAAACAGAGCTGGACGTAGGACACCAAGTTAATTCCTCTGCTGAGTTGTGACACACATACACAGGGTGGCTGTACTGTGTGAGTGGTGGAACAGACAGACATAGCAGCTGAGGAGGACCTGCTGCTGATTAATTGCTGAGTTTCCAAGGAAGTCACTTAATCCCTCTCCCTGCTGCTCTTCTCTTTCACATTGGTGTTCTTTCTGCCCCAGAACATGTCACCACAGTATAGTCTTGGTCTTTGGACATGCTACTCCATCTGGATGGACCAATATCTCAGTGCTTTATATGGTTGTATCCTCCTGATTGTTTGATATCAGCTGAGACATCACTTCCTCAGAGAGGCCTTCCTAACCATCCTGGCAAAAGCAGTTTCCACTCCTAGTTAGTTATACGTTGGAGATTTAAGGGGTATTCTAGAGCTAGACTGCTCGGGTTCAAATCCCATCTCTGCAACTTACCAGTATATCACCTTAGCTAAACTATTTATCCTCTCTGCACTTTAGTGTCTCACCTATAAAATGGAAATAATGACAGTACTTGCTTCCTCATGTTCTAAGCGTATTATATTATATGCTTAGAACAGTGCCTGGTATATAGAAGGTACTCAGTGGAGGAATTTTTCTCTCCAGTAATTCTCCAAGAAAATACTATTTCTGCTTCCTAGTGAAGAAAGTTGAAACCAGAGTTACAGAGCAGCAAAGAACAAACCCAAAAGTTGTACTCAACTGTCCTGATTTGAAGTCTCCACTTATCCAACAATACTAAGCTTGATACATTGTTGAAATAGCTGATGAAAGGAGCTAATAAATGAGAATAGCCAATGAGTTGGAAAGTACACTGTGCGCTATAAGGTATTCATAGAGTTAGTAATAACCAAGACCTTTAGATGAAAAGAATTGGGTTGTATTTATCTTAAGGAAGAAAATACTCTCAAAGACAACTCAAATCTGTGCTCCAAATAACAGAAAGAACAAAAACCCAGGAACTGCTGTCAACTCTTGGCATTTGATGCATCTATGTCTGTTATACTCGTTTGCATTAAAGTTAAGTTTCAACCTAGGCTGTCCACAAGGCCCACAAGCAAGCCCCCTGGGACCAGGGGCTACATTAGTCAGCTTCTTCCCGTACCAAGTTTTGCATGTCGTAGGTGCTCAGTAGTTGGTATAACTGCCACCTTGTTTACTTTTTTCCTAGATGCCTTTCCTAGTCTAGAAAACTACCATCTCCCATCCAATGTGCCAGGACCTCCCTTCCCCCTCCCCACCCTTCCGTTTTCCAGTTACCTGTTCCTGAGGACAGGCCCCTTGTGTGTTCATCTCTAGCCCACCACTATCCTAGATTATGCTCAAAGTACTTGCTAAACAGGCCAAGGAATACTCTCCAGAGCACAGAGAAAGGACAATAAGGTAAACACTTCAGCTAGATACAACGAAGAAATTTATAATCACTGAGGCTGTAGGGGCTGCTCAGTCTTCCCACACCTTTCTACTCACAGCAGGAGAACCAAAGCTCAGAACATAGCTCTTTTTTTTTTTTTTTTTGGGGGGGGGCCTGGACAAAGGCTTGGATCAGGCCAGGCCATCCTACCCCCTTCTCTCCTGGGGGCCTACCCCCCACTTCCTTGAGTTCTTACTCAAAATAATTTCAGAGGTCTGTGTCTTTCTATTTTTTCTAGAAATTCTGGGATCCCTCTGGAGAGTCTCCTTCCAGCTGTGTACTTCCCTCAGACCCCTGTCTCCAGGCCCAGCCCTCTGCCCTTACAAAGATGCTAGCTGTCGAGGGTATGGGAGACAAGCTTTGATACAGTCTGAATCCCGGGCCAGAGGCTGAGGTCTGATGATACTGCACCAGGCAGCAAGTGGAGTTTCGGGGCTGGCTGACCACAAATGCAGCATTTGTCAGCACTGCCTAGCAAGAGGAGACACTCTGGCAGGGTCGGAGATCCAGGCGCCTCCACGAACCTCTGTGCTCCAGCATCCCCTTTCCACTCTGCCAGTAGCTGTGTGGCCCTGTTTCCTCACATGTAAAATAAGATGGTAACTGTACTTGCTCAAGATGTACTAACACACCGGAGCTGGTCATGGCTAGTTATTAGTAAAGAGTAACAAAATGGCTGGGACTACTAACAGGAAGGCAATCTCAGCCCTGGGCTTTGTGTTCAAGTCCTCCCTCCATCTCATTCTGGGTAATTTCGCCATTAACAGTTTCACCACAAGCATTTTTGTCACAGAACTAATTAGCCTTACAGCAATTTTGCATAAAAGAGAAAACAATGAAAAAGAAAAGAGGAATATTTAAAAGGTCATCGGAAAATATGAAAAATGAATTGTAAAATTAAGAAGACAAAATATAAAATATTTGAATACAGATCTATTGCAGAAAATACAAAGTACATCGAATACATTTACAAACCAAACATGTGCAGATTCATGGTAATACAGTCCCAAGAACTGATTTTCTTTTGTAGATTATACCTAACCCTTGTCTCCCAAGTCTTTCATTCGTTCATAGTATTATAAATTGGGGGGGGGCGTACTTTTTGGTGATCAAGCTTACTAGAAATACGAAATCAGAGAGTAAATTTACATCACATATTACTGTATTAGAAAATGATAGTATATCTGTTGCAAAGAGTTGGTTTCTTATTTCATCAATGGAGAAATGAAACCCACTGTCAACCAGTTAGTTCTTTTCTCTTTTATGGGAAAATTGCCTTGTGGTCAGTTAGTTATAGGCAAAATGTTTGTGGCAAAACTGGCATGAAAAAAATAGCGGCGAAAATACAGGACATACAGGTCCGCATAGAGAGAGCCTGACGGGTAACAGTCAGGCCTGAAGGGCCTACTGAGGCGCTCCCTGCCCCCGGCAGAGGTGTGGTTGGGCAGGGTGGGACACTGGCCCCCCTAAAGACTCACCAGGACAGTGGGCAGCTTCCTGCGGCGCCGCACGTAGAGCTGAAGGACCAAGCAGTAGGACAGCACTCCGCAGAGCAGCAGCAGAAAGATGAAGAAGATGCTGAGGTTGGTCACGGTCAAGTCTGCAGGCCAAGAGAGATGCAAGTGGCCTAGGGATCCTCCCAGGCTAACTAGGCCACATCTCTAGTCATGTCTAGGTTCTGGGGAATCCCTGCCTGCACTTCCTGGCTCTGCCCAGGATTCCCTCACTGGACGCCTTGATGCTGCTCCCAGCTCTTTGCTCAGGACTTACATGGAGTAAGAGGCAGGTGGCCAGCAGGTAAGAATAAAGGCTTTGGGAGCAGTGCAACCAGAGTTCAAGTCCCAGTTCCCCTACTTACTAGCTGTGATATTAGACAAATTACTCAGCTTCTCTGAGACTATTTCCTCATCTGTAAAATGGGGAAAATAATAGCACCACTACATCAGATGTTGTAAAGCATACAGTGTTTATAACCTGCCAAGTGCTTAGTTCTCTGATCCTTCTAATGACCTTAAGAGGTAAATAATATCATTCCTAATATTAGGATCCTGAGGCCCAGAGAGGTCAAATCACTTGCCCAAGGTGACATGTGTTACCAAAAGTGATAATCTCATAAAGCTGAGATTTGAGCCCAGGCCTGCACACAAAACTAGTTATCACATCAGAGGTGAATGTACTAATAGCTCTTAAAGCTGCCTGACACTGGTGGCCTCTCACTCTGCTTGAATGAGAATGAGGCATGATGGCATTGAACTTGTGTGTCCTTTGTAGGTGGAAATGTATTGTAGAAATGTAAGAATTCACTTTGGTCTTTGCCAGACCCTGTCCACACTGGACTGGGCAGTCCTGGCACACTGACCGTTGACATGATTCACCAGCACTTGCCATATGCATCCTCACAGAGCTGTTAGTTGTAGCTTTCACCGAGCATCCCATCTTCCCAGCCAGGCTGTAAGACGGTGTCCAGGAGGACTGTGGCCTTCATAGCCTCTATTGCCACCCCTCTTCCCAGTTGAGAGCCTGGCACTGTATTTGTAGATGTTACCAGCTGTGGCCAGGAGTTAGCTCAGTTCTACTTCTTTTGAAGGGGAGTAAGGGTAGGGAGAAGGACCTTTGTGCCCCCAGCCCCAAGAAATACAGCAAAGGAGCGAAACAAACAGGAGGTACCATAGCTGACAGGGCATGGCAGGGGTGCTTGGGGAGTGGATTTGTGCTCAGGAATAGCACCACAGAATCATGAAGCCTGGCTCTGCCACCATGCCCTTGGAAGCTGCTTCCATGCACCAAGTCTCATCTCTAAAAGGGGGACAATCAGAGTTCTTGCCCAGGGTGGCATGAGGATGCACAGCTAAGTGGGGAATATCTGGCATGATGCCTGGCACTGGTGGCCCTTGCAGGGGTTTTCTTTTTGGAATGTCCTTCTGGCCTCCATCCCTGCCCAGCCAGCAGCCCTGCTGGACTCACACTGTGGGGTCAGGGTGATGCACTCCTCCATGGACCACACACCCTTGTTTGTTCGGGAGCTGATAGATGGCTTCACCTTGACACAGAACTTTCCCATCTCTCCAGCAGTTGGGAGGCTGAAATTTTCCCCTTGTACCTTCTTGTTTGGGAACTGAAATGAAAACAACAACAATAAACAAAATAACCTTGTTTCATGGCACACAATAGCAAGAGCTGGAGGGGCTCTTAGAGGTGACCTTCCTCAGCCACCTTCAGTGTTCTTTTTCTGAGATAACAAACCCTATATTATCACTGCAGCCCAAGATCTGAGTGATTGCCAGGATTTATTTTGTATTAAAAGAGAAAAAAGTGCTTGTAGAAGTTGAGGACCTTCTCAGAAGGGGCTGGGACTAACTGGTGGAGGAGAAAGAGGGTAGATTTTCCAGATCTCCCATTTATGGGGGTGTTCTTGGGCAATTACATAACCTCCTGGAGCCAGCCTCATTTCCCCATCTCTAAAATGGAACAAAAGATTCACTTGCAAGGAGGTCAGAAACAATAGCTATAAAATGTCTCATGAGGTACCTGGCACCTATGGCAGTGTCTTCCCTGCCACCTGGCGGGAGCACAGGTTTAAGGACTGGCTCATTCTGCTCCCTCTCCCACCCCCATGACTCCCCTCTATTCTGCCTACAAAGCTCCCCAGAAGGTGCACAACAGGTGCTTCCAGCCCAGGTGACAGGAATACCTGGGAAGCCCCAGGTCTTACAGCCTTGGGAAACACCTTACCTTATAGTCTCCTGGGACCTTGCGAACCTCAATCTCATACTCGCGGAACTCCGGGAAGATGCTTTCATATGTGTCACCTGCAGGGGCGATCTTGGGCCTGGAGGGATGGATTATCCCGAAGATGGAGCTTTTGCGCCTCTCCAGCGTCACACTGCCAACTGTCAGAGTCACTGAGTGGGGAGACAAAACCATGAGGTACCCCTCTCATGCCTGATTTCCAGGGTCAAGCTTTCCCTACTCCCCCAAAGTCTGGGAAACAGGTTCCCAGCCCAGCAGAACATACAGACTTCCTGGGAGCACATTACAAATACAGATGCAGGGGCCCACTGAAAACCCAGTGAATCTGAATTTCGAAGCCAAGCCCTGGAAACATCTACTGTAAAGACACACCCAGGTAATGTTTCTGCAGCCAGCTGAACAATGGCCTGTAGGTAGGCATTTGGGGAACAGTGACCTCCTAAGCCATTGGTTCTCACTCTGGATTCTGCAGAGCAGGTTGCTCTCCCCACCCCACCACCCCCCACCTCCCCTCCCCCCTTCACAGGAAACCCGATCAGTCCCAATCTGTGAAATGAGAGAATCCCATCAAGTTTGGGGTTCTTTTTTCTTATTTCTAAAGAGAGAGACTCCTACTTTTTCTTCAGTAGCACCTCCCTGCTTCAAAATCTCACACCTTGATTCCTGGGATTTTATCCCTAAAATGGGGAGGATGTGATTCAAAATCTGTCTACTGCTTGCTGCCCTGTGCTGAGTGCTTACGGATTTGCTTCCTCTCCTGCATCCCTCCAAATACACAAGCCTCGTGACTCAGCTGCTGTATCTCACCCCCAAGACTTCTCTGCTGTAGGATAAACAACTCTAGTTCCCTTTTAAATCTTGGACAACTTGGCTATTTTCATATAAACCTTCTTCACAGTCCTGACTCAAGCTTGCTTAGGCAACTAGGTCCCTGACCGGGAAGCCAGCTGACATGCCCAGCTGTGGTAACACAGAGAAAAGTTCTAGACTAGAGAGAACTCCAAAAGTCACATTCTAAACTCAGAGGGAGAAAAGTACCATCATCCAGAGAGAAGCGTGTGTTGGTGATGGTCCAGTTGGAGTGCTCGCCTCCATCCACTGCCCGGACTTTGGCTCTGTAAAGAATGTTGTAGTACATGTGGTACAGGTCCAGGGTCACCATAGTGAGATCACAGGACAACATCCGGGTCTGGTTGCAGTTGTGGATAGGCGTCCAGTGGCTTGTTCCATACCTGGGAGAGATCAGGGTAGAGAGCGCCCATGAGGGTACAACCCCAAGAGTGTTTCCTCTAGTCCAAGACATCTAATTGCAGGAGGATCTCCCTTGGTTCTGGGACCCTGTGCCAATTTCTCCATGGTCTAGAAGACTCTCAGATTGGAATATGAGTAGCTCCCATCCTGGCTCTCCAGGAAATTTTGCTATGCCCTGGAACACAACCTAATTTCTTCCTTCTGCCACCTGCCTTTGCAGTGGTTGGGGTTTTCTTGATGCTTTTCCTGTTTTTTTCCAATAAGATGGATAAACCTCGAGGGTAAAGGCAATACTCTGCCTTCCTCATCCCAGATAAACCTTGAGGGTAAAGGCAATACTCTGGCTTCCTCACCCCAGAGGTCCCAGCACAGTGCTCAGCACGTGAGACTCATGAGTAATTGGCAACTGATGGCTATATGCCTGGTTCCTTCTGGTGTCCTTTCAATAACAAGGCAGGCGTCATCTTCCCATGCCAGGGGAGGAGGGGATGGCCCACCCATTCCCTCACCCACCTCCTTTCCCCACCCTCCCCTTTCCTTACCTCTGGAGCTCCACTTCATAGTAGGTGCTGTCAGATGAATTTGGGATGGGAGTCCAGTGAAGAACGTGGTGGAAAAATTCTGCTTCAAACCACACAGATGGAGGGCTAAGCAGTTCTGTCCCTGGGGAGAAGAGTGTCAGTAGCACAGCTAGCAAATCCCATCCCCCAGGGATGAAGATGATGATGGTGATGGTAGCAAATATCTAGCAGTTCCCATTTATTGAGTATTTTGCTATAAGTCCATTGCTCTGCTAAGTACTTTATGTATGTTATCTCATTTAATTATCACACCAGTCCTTCAGGTGGGTACTTATTGTCTCAATGTTTCCAGAGAAGAAATGGAGGCTCAGAAAGGTTAAATGACTTGCCCAAGCTCAGTGGAGCCCATGGGGGCTGGGCAGGGCCTTGCAGGGGCCATCCAGGCCCCACCAGTCTGACTCCAGAGTTAGTGTTGTGAACTGAAATCACTATCTTCTACTACTCGGGATCAGAAGCAGAAGTGGTAACTGAAAAGAGTTAGGTTGGGTCTGATGTATCTCTGGTGAGAAAATGAGGGATGAGAGAGAGGACTATAGTGCCCAATCACTAGCCCTCCCTCCAGCCCTGACCCCATCCCTGCCCCTGGTGTCCACCCTGGTGCCAGCATAGGGCTCCAGCCCAAGGCCCCCTATCTGGTGTTTTCTGGGTACACAGATATCCTGCATAAATCTGCTTGTTTCTCTCTGCAGGTCCCCTGTGCAACCCCAAGCTGGGTGCTCGCCCCATCTCCCAGTTTCTAGAAGGGCTTCTATAGCCGTGCACAACTTCAGACTGCATGAGGACACACAGAATGAAGCAGCTCTGGTTCTAGGCTGTGCTGAGCACCTTTGCACAAGAAGGTAGCACCTGTGGGTCTGAGGTGAGACACTAAATACCAATGCCCGCCCCCATCTCCTCTCTCCCTCCTCCCCAGCCTCCCGCCACTCACTAAGGGAAATGCAGCTTCAGGAGCCTCAGACTCACACTTCCCAGGGTAGCACGGACACATTTTTAAACCTCACCGAGCTGAACCCCCTTGTGTAAGAACACAGTAAATACACCCATTTCAAGTCTCCTGCTCTGGTGAAATGAAGCAGCTGAGGCTATTTCCCTCAGTCAGTTTCTCTTCTTTCCTTCCTAATCCCTTAATCTCTGTCTCTTCTTCTGACAGCAACTCTCTCCCGCTTCCCGGGTCCCCTCATCTCCCTAATAATGCTGCTTCCCCTCCCAGGCCCTACCTCGTTCTTACTTAGAAAGTATAGCTGTCCCTGGCTCTTACTTTTTTTCTTATACGGTCTTTGATTCTCAAGTCTGTGTCTCGATTTCAAAACATTAACATGGAAAGTGAGAAGTGCAGCCCGTCTTTGTGGTGTTTGGTCTGTACATTCCGGTCATGTGAATGACTGACTGTGAGTTTTAATTTGTATTCTCGTGTCACACCGACGCGGTTTCAGGCCCCCCTCGCTGCCTCTGCTCTTGGTCCTCTCCCCTCTGGTCCTTTCACTCTCTCCCTGGGGTTTACACTTCGTAGTTGCAGAAACTTTCCAGGACTGCTGGGTGCGGGGTGGGAGTAAGCAGGGGGAGGCGCAGGCAGAGGGAGCACTTTGGGGGCTGAAGAAGTAGCAGGGATGATCAGACGGGGGTGTCAGGTGAGAGTCAGGAGAAGAGCTGCAGTGACCGAGAGCGGGGACAGCAAGCAGAGTCAGATGGGGGCTCAGAGTCGTTCCCATCATTTGAGGAGCAGTCCATCATTTGAACTGAAACAACTAAGCAAGACGAAATTCACGATTTGCCAGGAGGTGGGTGGGCAGTGAGTTGGTGGTGGCAGGTGGTGGGGACCGATAGTCATTTCCCTTCCCTATGCCCACCTGCCCACCGCTCGCTCAGTCTCAGATTCTTCCATTTCTACAGCTGGTGAGCACGAGAGCCAGGCTCGCCAGAAGGACCCCTCTCTAGAGGGCAGGGAGTCAGACCGGCTTCTCCCCGGGGCGCACGACTTTAATGTAGGGGTGACAACGGCTGAGAGACAGGTCTGGTCACCCACGCAGCCCAGCGCGGGGGGCTGCGGAGGGCAGGGCAGGGCCGGGCCGGGGGTCCTTACCGTGCGCGCCGGCGCCGAGCCGCAGGCCGAGGAGCGCCGCCAGCGGCACAACCAGGCTCGGCAGCATCCTAGGCGCGCCGCATCCTCCAGAGGCTGAGCCGAAGCTTCGCCGAAGCTTCGCTGCGGGCCTCCAGCCCTGGCGATTAGGGCTCAGACTGAAAGGTCCCGCCGCCGGCCCCGCCTGCTTCCCGCCCGGCTGACGTCGGGGGGCGAGGCCTCGAGGTCCCCGCCCTCCGAGGCTCCGGAGTCCGGAGCGGATGCGCGGCGGGTACCTGCAGCCTAGCGCGCACCACCCCAGCGGGTGGAGAGGATGGACGCGCAAGGCGCCTACGTGACTGTCCCGGGACGGGTGCGGCGCCCTGAGGCGCTCTCCCAGGCCCTGGGCCTGATGGAGCCCAGCGCGACCCCACGAAAGCGGTCCGGGGGTGGGGGTGGGCCGGAGAGAGAGGGGTGGGGTGCAGTGCAGGTGACAAGGTGTAGGTAACCTCGCTTTGGGTGCAGAAGGTGGGTTGAGACTCTCAGAACTGATTTTGCTAGATGAGGAGGGTTGGCCCCCGGAGTCAGCTTTGGGGAAGGTGATGTCCCAGGTGCTTGGGTGTCTGTGTGAGTCTTGGTGTTGCCCTAGTGCAGGGGTCTCAGTAAAACCAATGGTGAAGCAGGCAGTCCTCTTCCTGACTTAATATTTTTGGAGGAGTGCCCATGTCGGTTCCCAACCCCTTTTGATTTTCTTTGCTGTCCTGAAATCTCGCCTTTAGAGCGATTTTTTTCTTTTGGGTTACAACAAGCCTAGAGAACGGGGTAACTCATCGTCAGCCACCTCTGGGTCACTTGGCTCATCTGAGACTTCACTCCAGGTGCACCCAAGGTGGGACAGCATGGGAGATAAACGTGGTCGGCTTCCCTGTGGGATGTGCCACCTGCTAAAGAGTGTGTGTGTATATGGGGGTGGGGGAAGCCCCATCCTGTGTCTGAGGGTCTCCACTGGGAATAGCAAGGCCTTAATTCATGATGATGGTCAGTGAAGGTCAGGGAGGCCCCAGTGCATGGAGAGTGGAGAGTGATGTGTGCCCAGTGGGATACACGGTTAGTCACCTAAGTGGACAGCTCTTGTTGCCACACTCAGAGCAGTTGGGTGGAAGAGAACCAGGGTGTTTAAAGTTTGAGGGTTATTTTTGCACTTCCTGTTGTTCACCTGAGAGATTAAGAGTGGCCAATTTGTCCTCCTCCTGGGCACACAGACCACTCTATTTTCGAGGTGGAGTATATGACTGGGTTTTACAATGTAAAGTCAAATTGATAGGTGAAACTTGCTGGCCTGCCCTCTAACACTGTCCTTGTAAATCTGTTGGCCACGTGGAGGGGGCTCAGTAGAGAATTCCAGGGGGACAAAGAGAGCTTGATCCTGAATCACCTCTTGCATGGGAGCTGTGCAGGGAAAATGCCCAATTACATCAGCCTGTGACTTGGATGAGGAGGGAACTCATATCTAGCCACTGAGATTTGGGAATTTTTGTTGTAATAGCTGATGTTAACTGTGAGTCTGCTAATCCTAAGCGGCCTGTTCTGCCACCATTTTGTTACCTACAGTTCTAAATCCTAAACAAGGTCAGAACGGCCTAGTCAGTTATGTACAGGAGCCCAACACTGCAAGGAGCCTTTCAAATCAGTCAAGCACACAGAGCTGGATCACTCTGGGAAGGCTATGCAGCATGAGGTATGACCGGGAACGCCCAGGGGGCTGAGGACCAATGTATAACAAGGGACCCCAGAAACTGATCAGTGGAATGCCTTGTTTATAAGATTGCAACCATGGCTGGGGAACTAGGCCTTGATCTCAAAATACTGAGTCATCAAGCAGACGAGAAGTGCCTGGAGAGCAGACTCACAATTCCTGATAATATAGATGTCAGCACATTTTCTAGTTACATTCTTCCGCTTTTCCTTTTTTCCTCCTTCCCTGTACAACTGATGCTGTATGATTATTCTATCAATAAAAAGGCCAGGATCCTGCTCTTCAGCAGCATCCTGCACTGTGCAGCCTGCTCCACAACCCCCATTTCTTTTATCAATGTGGCATTGCTGAGGCGCAGTTAACGACTTTGATTAATGTGCAAACATTGTATCATTTATGCCTTATCACCCCCATGCAAGCTTGGCATCATAACTGTTTGGTAGGTGATGAAATAAGGTTAGAGATTAAGTCACTTGTTTGTGTCACTTAGACAATGAGTCACAGAGCTAAGACTTCAGCCTAGGTTAGTTTGACTCCAGAACTCATATCTTCTCTCGCGTTAAAATGCCTTCTGGATCTGGGGGAGAATTCTTGGAAGAGACAAGTGTCCAGTGGGTTGAAAGAGAGAGAATGGGGGTGGAGGGAGGAGGGAGAGGAGGAAGATCTAGGGGCTGAGTGTTATGGGCAAATAGAATAGGGGGAGCCCAAGGGAACCTGTGGATAGAGTTGGGTCCACCTCTTGCCCCTTGGTCACAGAGGAAAAGTTTGAGGGCAAAGTTTGACCTCTGGATGGTTCCATTGTCTCATTTTACTTTACTTTGCCTTCATCTTCAGGGCGATCCTTCTCAGTGGGCATCACTGGGGGGCAGTGTGGGCATGAGAACCAGTAGGAAGCCCATTCTCTAATGTGGCAACAGGTACAAGTTGCAGTTTCTATCCTTGGACTGGGGCTTAGGGAAGTTCCAGGCCTTATGATCACTGTGTCAGAGCTCCACAGAGAGACCCAGAGGGAACCAATCAAGAAGGGAACAGAGAGAAGGAAACTGCTTGGGGACAACTTAATTGTGGTTGGGTCAAAGAGAAGCTTGGATGTAAGGTAGAGGGGCCACCAAAGGACAAGCCCCAGTCCAGGAAGAGCCTTCTGGCTGCAAAAGAGTGCAATCCCTTTACTGTCTGCTTGGCTCCTCCTGACTGAGTGTAGTCAAAGATCTCAGAAAGGGTAAAACTCCCTACTGAATTTCTCTGTCTTCTCTGTTTAGGCTTGAATGGGGAGTTGTTTGGAATTTATTAGAGTGGGTGGTAGACTTCCCTGAAAGGTATGGGACAGGACAGGGATATAGTTTATTTGCATTTTAAATATTGTAGAAGAGAAAACCCGAAATATGGAGATGACTAGCTAGGATGACTATGGTGATAGAATCAAAATGCTGGTCTCTGAGTGAAGTTCAGCTCTCTTTGACTGACACCCTATAGTAGCTAAACTTGTGGAACTATGAAGTCATGTGGTGCTTCACCCTTGGCCTTGAGGAAAAGGAAGAAATTCTCATCTCCTAGTTGAGGGGCCTTCCCTGTGAATTCCCGTGAATCAGCAGAACTGGGGCTAAGGGCCTTCTGACAAGTGCAGTCTACCCCAGTGACCCCATTCTTGGTCAGTGTCCGAGGTTTGTAAGCTGCTTGGAGGAGGCTGGGGAGGGACCTCAGAAACAGGAGACCTCATTCTAGCTCCCACTTGGTCATGACAGCTGTGCGCCCTTGAATCTAGGATAATTGCACCCTTCCTGGGCTCTGTAGGGCCAGATACAAAAGTGTTCTGACAACTGATAAAGGTTTTGAGTGGGAGTGTGGCTAGTGGAAATATTTAGCTGAAAAGAAACCGACTGAGGGGCCAGCCCCTCCTCCTATAGTCTGCACTCATTCTCCAGGCAGTTAGGCTGGCCCTGACCCACTGTGGATGACTGGGGTCTTTGACTGTGCATGGATCTCCTGTCCTCCAAAGTTTATGAAAATCATCTTGTCAGGAAGGGCGAGAATCTGGTCCATTGTCATTGCTTTGTGAACCGGAGATGCAAGAAGTTAAGAACAGAAGAACAGTGACAAAAATACCCCCCGTCATTTCAAGAAACAACTGTGTCTTCTCCTGTAGTCTTGATGACTTTGACTTCTCCAGTTTTCAAGGGTGTCATTTCCCTATAATTCTAAAATTAACAGCCGTCTGAGTCTCCATCCCACGAGTACAGGAAGTCCATCTGCTCCTTGGTTTGCATTCTCAGATAAGGTGTGGGTTTTCCCGGGAAGCCCCACATGCCTGAGAGCTACTCTGGGGTCTCATCACTTACCTCTTGGTGTCTCACGATGGTGGCCTCTCGGCTGTGCCTCCTCATGTCAAGTGTGAACACAGACCCACAACATTTTAAAATGCGATGTGAGGCTTGTGAATAGCAAGAGCACCAAAGAGACAGTTGCCACTACTTCAAAAGGGAGCCACTCAGAGCTGCCTCCAGTGCTGCTGGTCTGATTCTGAAAAATTCTCTTAAGCTTCTGGCAATCGCTGTGGAAGGAGAGACAGGCTGATTTCCCATCTTTCTTGCCCCCACAGAGAGACAGGGCCTTCCTTACTCTGTCCAAAGCCAACTTCTTCATCTCCTCCTCTTCTTCCTCTTCCCTCCTTTCCCCTCCCCTCCCCCTCTTTCTTCTTCTTCTTCTTTTTTTAAAAGAGGATTCACAGCAGGACTATATTAATATCATTCAAAGGAAACTCCTAGCCCCACCAGAACTTACAGTTGGGTTCCCATGGCCCACATGGAGCTAGTTGGTGGACTGTTTCCTTAGTCGGCCTTGGTCTTAGATAACTGGGCAGGTGGGATAGTAGCTGTGTCCTGGCATGGGTGGCATGTCAGGTCTAGTTTGGGCCATAGTAACTCAACCACGGACAAAAAGAGACTCTGAGGTGTTAGTCTTCTGTAAAGAATGCCACAAAAGAGTGATTTTTCAGGTGTGGGACGGGATGACCTAAACCTGTACTTGGGAGAAAGGTTGCTCTAACTTCTCAAGACCATGGTTCAGCTGAGTAGGTGCTCAGGGGACATTGCCGGACAAAATCCATCACTCCTCAGTCTGAGGAACCTGCCTTGGACTCACTGATATCTACAGCTTTGTCCACAACGATGGGCTTATGCTTACTTAAGACTAAGAAGGTCACCCAGAGCAGAGGGAAGCTCCCACCTAAAAACGAATCCTAACTGTCTCTCTGACACAGAGGTTGCTTGTAGTCCCTTAATTTATAGTTGTTTAGCTTCAAGAATTTAAAGATGGATGCTCTACCACATCTCTGATAGCAGCAA